AGAATTCTCTGCAAAACAGAATGAAAGATGATATTTTCATATTCTCCTCTTAAAAAATTAACTGTAGCTTCAATTATCTTACTTTGTTACATTCTTAACAGCATATGCCATTTTGACTGCTTTATTAGTGATTGTTCGATTGATCTGTTACAGACATTATCAGATTTCTTTTCACATCCAGCTCCAAATAACATTGATATTAATAGTTGATATCATGTTGCACGTCTCTAGGGGATTAGACTGTTTGGAGAAAGAAAGAAAAACCCCTTCTGATCCAAATATTGTTTATACAGGATTGTGTAATTCTGAGCAGAATTAATGGGCTTTGTCCTGTTCTTTTGGCTCAAACAACACAAAATCTTAATGAAAGGAAATAGACACAGTTGTTTTAAGCATTTCTAAAGGATTCTGCAGGAAAGTGTGGAGGGTTCTGTATAAAAGCTACATGTATCATCGAGATGTTCTGATATTCCTTTTATTTGCCTGCTGTATGCAAAGTGGGAAATTATGCCCAGGGCCAAAGGTCTTCCATATCACGGCAACAGCAATCCAAAAGTTTTAAATATCTTGGCAGCAAAACTCACTGTACCTTCAATGCACTTGATTTTCTTAAACAAGCTGCATATAGTAAGAAAACCCCAAAAGCAAGCAGATAAGATTATTAAGCTCTGTTTACAGAGGGCTGTAATATTACAGAGATGTAATAATAATAATAGGCAGGGTTTTTTTGTTTTTGTTTTTTATTTGATTTATATGCCGCCCTTCTCTGAAGACTCAGGGCGGCTTACAATGCGTTAAACAATGCCTTCATACTTTTGTATATTTATACAAAGTCAGCTTATTGCCCCCACAGACTGGGTCCTCATTTTACCTACCTTAGAAAGGATGGAAGGCTGAGTCAACCTTGAGCCTGGGGAGATTCGAACTTGCAGTAATTGCACACAGCTATGTTAATAACAGTGCTTTAGTCTGCTGTGCTACCAGAGCTCCAGAGCTTTTAATAAGAGCACTATAGTATAATGACCAATAAGCAAGATATCATTCAGTGCTCCCTGTTGCAGATTTTCTGGCGTTATGACTCTTTAAGAAAGTCTCTATGCCAGGGGTGCGCATTGAGAACTGAGCTGTGCAAGTGATGGGTGAGTGTGCGAAATCGTCCCCTCTCCCCCCACCCCTCCAGTGTTGCTGGTCCACAGAGCTGGAAAGGTTGGGGACCACTGCTCTTTCCTACCCTTTTTTTTTTGGTGGAAATATAGACCAGAATATTTGATGCCACTTACAACTGAAGTCATAAAAATAGCCCTGTTGGAACAGGCCACACACAGACATCATTCCAACATTACCTCATTTTATCTAGCTTTGCTCAGAGCTGTTTTTTTGCAATTGCAAGGTTGTGTAGGCAGCAGTCTGATGTGGTTGGTTCCAGAATATTTCTTTACAGATGACGAAAAAAGGACTTGCAGACCTATGTTTTGAGACATATGAATTTTTTTTGAGATATGAGTCGCTCTGGAATGTCATCTTGACAGGGTCCAGAAAACAAGCTTTTTTTGTCACCCATTTTCTGAAACATTTTTCCTCCAGAGATCAGGCTGGCCCCAACCCTCATTTCATTTCATTTCATTCTATGTTCAGGCCGAGTCCTGAATGTGTGAGAGGTCTGTCTCCTGTTTATATTAATGACAGTTGTGGTTTTCTTGGGTCTGTTTTAATTTTATATACATTTTTACTTTTTTAACACTGTTTGCCACCCAGAGCAATTTGTTGAGATGGATGGGTTATATCAATTGTGTCATGGTTCCGAGTAATGCTCCCAACTAGTTTAAGACTGTGAGACTGTTGCTTTGTCAAAGATCCTGTTTGTTGGGTACATCATATCAGCACGTTCAAATGTAAAGCCAACTCAGAATAATTCCCACACTTTGGCATAATTAAATGATAGATACTGGCCACCCCCCTTGTGTCACAGATCATATTAGTCAACCAAGCAGGTGATGGGCGTCTTAGTTCTCCCTCCTGCCATTGCTAGGGCAAGTTGGGTTAGCCTTGGTTCTCATGAGTCTTATTGTTATGTCTGGCAGTCTGGAGGAAAACATTCTACATTCCATAAGTCCCCCTCCATAAGTGAGGCAACTAAGAAATGAAGCAGAGAAAATTATGGCTTCAGCTAGAGTCATTTCAAGAATTGACAGACGGCTCCCCTTACATCAAAAAGAGCATTTATAAAATATGAATCACAGACAGAGGTTAGACCCTCTTTCAGCTGCCTCTCACCCCATCCCAACATTCTGGATTTTTGAGGGTTATCATGGAATTTCTTTATTAACTAGTCTGCTCTCACATTAGTGCTCTTAACCCAGGTGGCTTCTGACAAAGAGTACCCCTTCCATTGCACTAAGTGGACTTCCAGCGGCTCCACAGGATGTTGCGGACGCTCCTTTGTGGAGCGCTAGCCCCGCAACTTTGTTAGCTGCTAGAACAGCAAAAAAACAGCTGTCTAGCGGCGAAGAACCCCCCCGCCCGGGGAAAAGAGGGGGAAGAGAGCAGCCAGGTGCAGGGTAGAGCTCCCTAAGAGCCCTAGAATTAATTCTGGGGCTCGAAAGATGAGAGCTCCCCAGGAGCCTGGGAAAGCTCCAAAGCCGGGACGCCTCACCAAAAGGCAGAGCAAAACGCCGTGACCGCCCCTGCTACGAAATTGAAACAAATTGAGAACTGAAGCAGGCAGAAGAGAGACAGGAGGCTACATAATTGCAAGTATTTATACGTCAATTCCATTGAACATTGTTTCTTTCCGAGCCTACAAGAGCGGGGCTGAAGCGGAAAGGGGGGGAAGACTATGCTGGCTTGTTAACACAAAGAGACGAAAGTGAAAGTTAAGAAGAAAGTTTTTACTGACTCGTTAACTTATTAGCACCTTTCAGCTACCAGCCCCGCTCAAAAAATTTTTTAATAAAGAATTTCTTTATTAACTAGTATGCTTTCACATTAGTGCTCTTAACCCAGGTGGCCTCTGACAAAGGGTACCCCTTCCATTGCACTAAGTATTATAACTTCCCTTTGTAAAGCCTAGAATCCAGGATCCACTTTATTTCATAGTGGATTTCCCTTCCACCACTATGGGCTTTGGTGCCACTTGGGCTATCGGTCTCAACTCAAAACCGACTACCGGCTTTAACAGACTACTGTAGAAAACTGGATGTATTCTCCCCAACAGGCACGGAAGCTTCAGCTCCACAGTTACCAGATTGATGATCTTTACAATGGGGAATGGTCCCAAGAACTTAGGACTCAGTTTTTTGCATAGCGGCTTTAGCTTTAGTACTTTGTGGAGAGATAGACTTTCTCTCCCAACTGGAAGGCTCTCTGAAGGGCCCATTTCTTATCGGCCTGCTCTTTGTAAGCTTCTGTTGCATTAATTAGTGCTCGCTTTACATTCCCCCATGCAGTCTGTAAGGAGTAAACCCAATCTGTCAAACTAACAGAAGAGGGAGGTTCCTGGGGGTATTCTGGCATGGGAATGAAGTCTACTCCATTGACCACTTTGAAGGGGGTGAGCCCTGTGCTACTGTGCACTGCATTGTTGTACGCCACTTCAGCAAAAGGCAGTAGGTCTGTGCAAGTAGCTGCTGATAGTGGGCAGATGGTAATCTGGAACAGGTGATAAAATGAGCCTGTTTGGAAAACAGGGCAATCACTGTCCAAATCACTGTATTCCCACTGCTCTCTGGCAGTTCCATTATGAAGTCCATCGTAATCTTTTCCCAGGGCCGAGTAGTCTCAGCTACTCACTGCAGCAACCTGGACGTTTCCCCAGTCTCCTGTGAATGTTGCACAGCTCCTTACATAGCTTTCATTGTTCTTTTTCATCCCTGGCCACTAAAACTGCCTCCCGGCCACGTGCAAGGTTTTCGGGAACCCAAAGTGGCCAACCTGCTTGGCATCATGGCTCTGTTGTAGGACCTGCATCCTCAGACTGTTAGGGACATAGTTTAGTCCAGTGCTGGCTAACTTTTTTGCTGTCATGTGCCAAAAGCAGGGGGAGCGCAGGGGGGTCACACACACGCGTGCCCACACCCATAATTCAATGAGCCCCACTCTCACACATGGTACCCCCCATGCTCGCCTCCCCACTTTTGGCACGTGATGGCATGGTGGGCCCATTTTTCACCCTCCCCAAGCTCCAGAGGCTTTCTTGGAGCCTGGGGAGGGCAAAAATGGCCTTCTCCACACCCCGGAGGCCCTAGGAGGCTTTCTAGGAACCTGGGGAAGGTGAAAGCGGCTTTCCTTGGCGCACCCATGCATGCTGGAGCTGAGCTAGGGCAACGCCTGCGTGCCCACAGATATAGCTCTGCATGCCACCTGTGGCACGCCTGCCATAGGTTCACCATCATGGGTTTAGTCCCCTTCCAAGCCTGATGGTCAAGAGCTGCAAGTGTTCCTTGAGCCAGGGGTCTTTGTAACTCAGTTTTGAGCTTCTGGGTAAGCTTTCCCCCCAGTTTTGGTAAGTTGTCACGGGGTTCACTGTCGTGTGGTCACCTGGGTCACTTTTGGAGGGAGGGGGATAATTGCATTAACCACCTCTTCCTGACTACTCTTGTACTGGGGCATTTGTGAGAGGGCATCGGCCAGGAAGTTCTTTTCCTCTGGGAGCTACTTTAGGGTGAAGTTGAATTGGTTAAAGTATTGTGCCTACCTGACTTGCTTCGGAGAGAGCTTGCGGGGAGTCCTAAGCACCTCCAATTTTTTATGGTCAATGTATACTTTGAGTGTTTCTTTACTCCCTTCCAGGAGGTAGTGCCCACCAAACCTCAAAACCTCCTTCTTCCATACGGCCCAGCATCTTTCCATGTCAGTAAGTTTAAAATAAAATTTAAAATAACCTGGGTTTTAGAATTTTGGGATGAACATGAAAACAACAAATAAGAAGTCAGTGGTCCTCTTCCACAGCATAACGATAGGGAGAAGTAACCAAATTCTACTGAAACAGTAGAGACAAAAGATTATTTTCACCAATTTATGGTGAAAAGCTAAGTAATATTTTATGGAAGAAGAATCATGCTAGAATAAAACTTGGAAGATAGTTCACAATCATACATTTTCAACATGGGATAATACAGGTTCAAATATCTGTTGTTCCAGCAATCAAGTGCCTTGGCCTTCAGCAAGATCCAAACAGCCAGCCCCTCTCAAGTTTACCTGGTGTTTAACAAAATTCTGATCTGGAGGAAGCTGTTTCATCCAATCAGTCTGGTCCTGCAACCTGGCTTTCTTCCACCAGTCAGTCTTATTTTTCTCCACTTAGGAGTAGTTGAGACAGAGAGGCAGTGCATCACAAAATAGAGCTGCTGAACTGAAAGATGCCTGGACTGGATGTTTGGTTTCAACCTTAAATTTTCTGACATACAGCTCTAAGTCCCAACAGCTTAGCCTGGCTCCTTCTTCTGGCAGTCCCTTCCTTTATCTCAGCACATGTTGAGCAAAACCACAGCTTTCACTACTGAACAAGGCAAAGGCACTTCTCTCCAGCAGTCGAAGAGGTTGTATCCGTCCAAGGCACTTCTCTCCAGCAGCCGAAGACGTTGGCTACACAGCTACCAAGTCCTGTAGCCAGTGAAAAGGAATAGTTCTGCAGTGGGCTAGTTGGAGCCCTGTAGATCACTGCCTCTTTTAGTGTTTTCCTCCATGTGAGTCAGATTATTTGCATAGTGGTGGGCTCATCCCGTTTCCCCTCAGATTCTTGTTCTCCTGTGGAATTTGCTCAAAATAGAGGGAAACGTTGGTCAGAAAAAATAGCAACCATAAGACCTAATGAATGTCATTGCATAAAAATATTCAAATATGATCCAGGTTTGCCATACATAATATGGATTTAGAGATCAAAGGACTGTACATGTAAGCAGCATCATATTTGAATCTTATCCAGTCAATTTTGCATGTTTCTCTTTGGAGTACATTTTTCTATTTTAACTGAAATGTTCCACTTCACAACAGATAATGCTCTTAGCACGTAGTGTAACTGCGTAATGATTTTCATTCTTTTCACACACATATCAAACCTATACTTCTCCAGCAGTGTGTTTCACTTTTTCAGTCTTTCAAAGATGTTCTTGTTGACCTTTTTAATATTAGCTTTCCCCAATTAATTTCTATTTCTAAACTACATCTAGTGCTTAAAAGACAAAAGGCAGCCCCTCACTTCACAATCTTGCTGTTCAGGCTTCATCCACAAATGGACATTTTTATTGCCCTTCCAAGATCTTTTTCTTAAAATCCAACTTTTCCCCCACGCCTTGGGTTGAGTGCTGAGAATTCCTTTGTAGGAATGCCATATGGTTGAGTAGATGCTGGTTTTATTGTTTCCAGATGTTTTCTATTTTGCCTTATTGTTGTTAATTTGTTTTTATTATTGTATACCATTCAAGAGTCTCTATGGAGCAAGGTAGCCTTACAAATGTATTAAATGAATTGTACCTCTTCGCCATAGGTGCTGTTGTGGCCTGTCAGCAGCCTGTGCGGATTGTAGCTGATTCTGACAGCAAGGAGACTGGTGTGGTGCTGTGCTAGCAGCCTATGCAGCTGGCACTCGAGTCAGACACTTAGAAGGCTGGAGAAGATGTGGTGCCAGAGACAGGGATTCAGCCAGGGCCTTCAGAACCTCCAGAAGCTCCTTTAAGTGAAGAGGACGAAGAGAAGTCTCTTCTCGATGCACAGGCGTGCAGAGCTGCCAAAAGGCAGGAGTGGCTCCTCAGGAGGAGGTCTCCTCGAGAGTAAGGCTTGGGGCTAATTGGCCACTCCCTTAGCCTATTTAAGGAGGAACACCGACTGAAGCAATTTGTAGGGAACAACTTTAGTTCGCGTCTGGATTCTCTGCAAATTGTTTCTGGGCTTTCTGCCAACCTTAGTAAGATTGTGATTACTTTATCTTTAGTTTCTTATAGGCTGTTAAGAAAGTTTATTAACAGCCTTTGTTTTGAAACAGACTGAGTTATTTTAGTAAATTAAGTTTTGTACAAATTTTGTGTGTGCTGTGTTCTTTGGGGTCCGTAGCTGGGGCAGAACAGGTGCTTCTGTATGGGGGGGTGTGGGGTATCAGTGGCATGAAAAGGATGTATATAATCAGGTGACCAAATATAACTCAACCCCTAGGGCAGAGTTCAAATGCCCAGTCATACTCATCATTTGACACCATTGACCCCTCTGTGGATGCTCTTGGCCCCACAAATGTTTTCTGGCTTTCTGTAGTGCCAAGGAGGGCTTCACTTGTTGCACTTTGTTTCATTTCTACTCTGACTGGATACAGGTAGTCCTCAATTTATAACCACAGATGAGCCCAGAATTTATGTTGCTAAGTGACAAATTGGTTACCTGAGTTTTGTCCCATTTTACGACTTTTCTCGCCACATTAGTGAATCATTGCAGTTGTTAAGCTAATTGACCCACTTGTTAAGTGAATCTGGCTTCCCCATTGACTTTGCTTGTCAGGTCGCAAAAAGTGATCACATGAGCAGCGGTCATAAATATGAACCAGTTGCCAAGCATCCGATCATGGGAATGCCGCAAAGGTTGTAACTGTGAAAAACGGTCCTAAGTCACTTTTTTCAGCGCCGTTAATGGAAAGGTCACAAAAGTTGAGGACTACCCACACTGTGCCCAGTGGCAAAAATACTCCCCTCTCTTCACTGATCTCTACAGTTCACTGACAGTTTTTGGAGTGGCTGTGGAAGATGGGGAATTCTGGGAGCTGTAGGACACACTTCTGGGAGGGGGGGCACCCACCTTAGGTGGGGCTGCAACATGCTGAAATATGTTCGGCTAGATTGTGTTGGTTTAATTCAATAAACCATATTTCAGTTCACCTTGAGTTTCCGTGCAAGAGCATGAAAGGATTTTGGATAGGATGGCTGGCTTCATTCGAATCTTAAAGCCCCTGGAATTCTAAGATTTTGAGGGTTCCAGTTCTTTCCGTGCAAAAAGAATGTAAACGCCCTTTTATCCGAGGAAGACAATATTACGATTTTTATGAGCCGCGAGATTGTTTACGCTGCCCATCCGTTGCCCTCTTCCTCTTCCTTCTCCGGGGAATTCCGCTTAAACGGATCGCTTCCAAGGAATTAAGCTACGGATCCGGCAGCCTAAAAGGAAAGAAAACTCGTCTCGCTTGCGCAGGCGCACCTTTGAAGCCCGACTCCGCCTTTTGCATTGTTTGGACGGAGCGGCTTTCCTTATTCCGCTGACGTCGACTCTTTGAATCGCCGCGATTCCGGCTTGGGTGATATGGCTGCCCAGAAGATCAACGAAGGTTTGGAGCACATCGCCAAAGCGGAGAAATAGTGAGCGGAGCTGCAGGAACGGGCGGGCCGGCGGGAGGCGGGGCCCCTCCTTCCCCACCGCGGCTGGGCAGGACGATGAGTGGGCTCTTCCGCCTCTTTTTTTGGCCACGACCATGGCCAAAGGGGGCTCCCCTTTCCAGGGGGCTCCCAAAGAGGGTCAAGGGGCGGCTGGTTTGGAGAAAAGACCCCGCTGGGTCAAAATCTGCAGCCTGGGAAGGAGTAGGGTGGTATCACGAGATGGGTTTGTAGATCCAGTGGATCCTCCTGTTTAAAGATGCACCAAGGAGTGGAGGTTCATCTTCAGGCTCCAGCTGTGCAGGCTGGAATTGGGCGTTTTGTGTCAAGGTCCCCTTTTCCCCTTGAGAAAAGAAGCTTCTGGTTTGGAGAAGCTCTGATCTTACTTATGTACAGGTGGTCCTCGACTTAAGACCACAACTGAGCCCAACATTTATGTTGTTCCAGTGAGACATTTGTTAAAGTGAGTTTTGCCCCGTTTTTTACGACATGTCTTGCCATGTGATATATATAGGATCTCCTGCTTGAGCAAGGGGGGCTGGACTAGAAGACCTCCAAGGTCCCTCTCAGCTCTGCTCTGATTCAAAAAAAAAATGTGTCACAGCGAATCACTGCGTTTGTTGAATTAGTAACACCGTTGTTAAGTGAATCTGGCTTTTCCATTGACTTTGCTTGTCAAGTCACAAAAGGTGATTACATGAAAAACCCACACACCCCAACCATTATAATTATGAACCAGTTGTTAAGCATCTGAATGTAAATCACATGACCATGGGGATGCTGCAACGGTCATAATTGTGAAAAATGGTCATGGGTCACTTTAGTGCCGTTGTAACTTCAAACGGTCACTAAGTGAACTGTTGTAAATTGAGCACTCCCTGTAGTACAAAACCCTATAGGTTTTACATTGATTAAGCAGACTGCTCAATGGTCTTACTGTTTTTCATGGACTGATTGACTCTTGAGTTGGAAGCTCTGTAAATGATTGATTTTGATTATGTTCCTTCCTATTGGGGTTGATTTTTAGGGACTACATAAATGGCTTTTAGCCATGGTGGTCTGTCTCTAGCCTGATCCTTCAGGTCTTCCAACATCTTGCTGCTGGTCATCCTCTTCTTTTTTCTTTCTGTTTTTGCAACATCAGAGCCTTCTCCAGAGAGCTCCGTCTTTGCATAATGTGTCAGAAATCTTCTATAATTGAGTATCATTTATGTCATATTACAGCTGCCTATCCCTCTTTTTCTTCAAAGACATCTGCTGCCTGAAACAGTTATTATTAGCGCTTCATCTGGTCCTGGCCTTCCTTGGCTGAGATCCTTAAATTATGACAGACAGAGAAAGGGGTTGAAATGGGAAGCCATATCTGAGCACAGTGATAAAATATGGCCTCCAAAACATAGCATGAGACTTGACTATATATATTTTCTGTAGCTTGTCCATCAAAAAGGTGAACCTGATATTGGGACCAGGTTTCTGCTATAATGAACTGAAATTAATGGTATGAAAGATGGCATGAAAGCTGTGTCCATCCCTTCCCCTTGTGTCCAGCCATTAACAATATTATTAATGGCTTCACATTTTGTTTTTCAGCTTGAAAACTGGATTATTAAAATGGAAACCAGACTATGACAGTGCAGCTACAGAATATTCCAAGGCAGGTATGTCTTGTAAAATAAGGGGGTTGTTTTTAAATCTTAATTTCTTCTGCAGAATAATGGTTAATTAAGCTCTAAGAATAGGACTTGATGTCCAGAAAAACTTCACATTTCAAAAGCAAATCTGACATTGAATTTAATTAAATTTGGAAATAACTTTTCAAATTATAACATGAAATATCAATTTTCTTGATATAAAACTGTAACTCCCAATCTCATTTTATTATACTGTACTGATGATTGCTTTTGATATGTGTGTGTGTGTGTGTGTGTGTGTATGTATGTTAAATCTTAGAAATTATTTTTCTTTTTTTTTTTCTAAAAATGTTTAATAAAAAAAGTAAAAATTAAATGTATTTCATAGTCATTGTGGTGTATGCAATAAAAACAATTTCCCTAAACTCATTTTTATGAATATAATTTATTGATGAACCCTAATTCAAGTATTTACTGTATCATACTTATTCCACACATGGGCTATTGATAAAAATAGTATGCTTTGGTTTACTAACAAATTGTATTAATTTTATCCTGTACCGTTGGATGGCATTTACGAGTAGTCCATGTATTTTTTTAAAAAATAATTGCAGTTGCTGCCCTTTTGAGACTTTACAAAGCTTTATCTACCTGTGTTATAATCTAGTAATTAAAGATCTGAATGTTATCTTGTCTCTTGCTTGCATCAAGTATATGTCTGTTGTATTTTGGATAACCCATTTCTCTTTTTAATCTGGAATTAAGTCCTATTGTATTCAATAGCACGTACTGGGATTATATCAAGTAGACTACATATATTTTGATTTTAAGTTTATAGGAAGTTTGTGAAAAGAGATAGGAGGCAACTACTGGATTGGTTAGCTTCCCTAAGAACCTATAGATTAGGAATCACCAATTCATTTGGAACAATGGACACATTTGAAAGCTCAAAAAATGCCTTTTAGTAATAGATATAGCTATTAACAATACATATCAAAAAAACCTCTTTAGACAATTATCTTTTTTAGAGCAAGTAGGCAAACTTTAATTTAACTATTTATTTACAGCACAGGGCTATAGGAATCTGTGATTTTCATTTTCTATGAATGTTTAAGGGATAGAAGAATACTTTCCCAAATAAAGATAATGCTTAAAGTTAAGGCTTTACTTTGAATATCTAAAAATGTATTCAGTTGGGGCAGCAACAGGAAAAGCACCCACACAAATGCCACATCGCCCCCCCCCCAAAAAAAATCTTTGACTAAAATGCTGGATAAGAACAATTTTAAAACAATAAATTATGTCTTTTAAAAATTGCTAAAGTTATTTCCCAAAAGCAATAATGTTCTTTTTTTATTATTTTTTGCAGCTGTTGCTTTTAAAAATGCCAAACAATTTGAACAAGCAAAAGAAGCTTATTATAAAGAAGCTCTATGCCATGAAAATAATAAAGCGTATCTTTTCATTATTTGCTGTTTCTACCTTAATTGGAGATCATGTTGGGTTTATATGAATTTATGCCTATTCCAAACATATAATTGTATTTTGTCATATTTAAGGGTGTTTTAACAGAAAACCAATAGAAGACTATTCCCTGCAATAGGAAAATGTTATTGTACCTAGGTATATCCAGATCCAATTTTGTGATTAATTATGTAATTAAATAACAAACTGTTAAGTTATAGGACATGCTTGTCCTTTGTAATATTTCCAGACCTCCCAGTGACCCATTAATGTATATTCATTGAGATTTTTATTTCTATGGAAAAATTGTTTTGAGTAACAAACCGGCATTAGAATAGCAAATACATTTCTTGTATATCAAATCTGTGAGGAAGATTTCAGAGAATTCCTTCATTGGCCTCATTGCTTAGCCATTCATGCAAGAGATGCTTAAAATATGACTATTCTTAGGAGGATTACAGAGTGTTTTAAGAAGATCCTACATATTTTAAAATCTTGCCTAGTCATGATAAGAAATGTCCCCTTTCCCCTGCAGTCTTTCTGTTTCCAAATATGTTCTGGAATGTTGAGAAGTCTTCAGGAGTAAATCAGAGGAACTTGGGATATTATGGAAAAAAGGGGAAGAAGAGGAAAATATGTTGCAGTGTGATATCCTCTTGCACAATTTTGGATATGACCAAACTTTGAAATCTCCGATGGTAGGAAATCCTAGTCATAGAATTGAAAGCTAAAGTACTTAAGAAAAATAATACATTGATTCTGAAGAAGGCGTGAGGGCTTACTGATACATTCTATGCTTTATCAGATTTCTTTTCTCTTCGTCAGGCTTCTGTTTTAAAGAGAATGTTTAATTGATGTATGATTATGAATTTTTGAAATTCCTAAACCTAAATTGGAATTATCCAGAAATATTTTATATGTATAGTACATGCATATATATTTATCCTTGACTTGAAATAACATAAATCCAGCTTCTTCCATGCTGCAAAGTACGTATGAATATTTGTCAAATTTGATAATATATGTGAAATACAATTGATATCAACCAGAATTGATAGTCCGTTACATAGATACTGTACATATACATACATTACATATAACTTCATCAAAGTATAATCAAATATTGTTAGAAAGTTGAGCATTTTGGAAGGAGAAATGTATAACTATAATATATTCAAATATATTCATGTAGTTCTCCCTAGCTCTCCATTTTTTGTAGAAAAAAAATGGTCTTTTCAAGTGTGCTGATTTTCTATTGACATTAACAGTGTCATTTAGAAAAAGAATCCGCTTTTTATATATATTACCATTTTTCCTTGGTTGAGAAACCAGTTGTAGCCAGACTCAACTGAACACATAGGCAGAAGGCTGGAGGTCTCAGATCTCCTTTTCCAGGAATTGTTTTTATTTTAAAAAACATTTATATAGCTGTCCATCTTCTATCAAACTCTAGATGGGTCCAAATCAGCAGTTAAACAATACTAACAATAAAACAATACAGTACAATATTGAAACCATCCTATATAACCATGAGATGTTTACTTGCTCAGTTATACTTTTAATTTCTCTTTTCAGGGCTTATGAACAAGCGGGAATGATGTTAAAGGTATGACAGGGTTGTTTTTTTTAATGAAGTTAAAACTAAATATTAGAATGACCTGTGCAATATTCATGTATTGATAAACCTGTTTGGGGATCCATGATTCACAGTTCTGTATAGACTTACAACTTCTCCTTTGCATTGAATTCCATT